GTTACATTGAGAGGACTGCAATCATTGAAATGAAACAAAGTATAGGATTTGCTGAACCTAAAACTGGTGATCTATTATAAAACCCTCATTCAGTTCCCAATAAGACTGGCTAAAAACACACACACACACGTGTGTGTTACTTACTACTTTAAACTGTATTACGTTTGCAAACAGTACATAATGAGACCTTCCATCTCTTAAACTAGCAACAACATGAAGTAGTCACTGTTTAGCTAAATGTTTACCTGATTGCTTTTCTGGAGCTCCTGTACCTTCTTGGCAAATTCCTTGGCTTCTTTCTGACACTGCTGTTCTAATTTCTCTACTTTTCTTTGGATCCTTTCATCCATTATTTGGAGTTCTTGAATATGATTTACAAATTCTTCTAATAATCTAGTAGAGAGGAAGACATATAACATGTTATCAATTCAGCTATGGTCAATCATTAGGAACTGACCTAATGAAACCAAGTATACTTAAGAAGTCATGCTAATTTTCTCTATAGCATCTTGCTAGGAATTTCTTCAATCAAGATCTTCTGTTACTTCATAACTTCATAGCTTTGTCTAGAGCATATATCTTGGAAAACAAATATGACAAAAAATACAGTCAGTTTTGACTACTGAATTCTCAGTGAATTATTTCTAAGGTGAATAAAACTTCACCTAAAATGCCTATTAACCCCTAAAATAGAAACCAATTTTACAATATATTTGAAACAATTAAAAAGGTAAATGTACCATGTTAAAATAAAACTGTACATTTCTGTTCACCTGATTTACTATATTTAAAATAACACAATCAACATGTTTTACATTACAGGCCTGACCAACTCTAATTTATTATTAATAATTTATTATTCACTGGAGAAAAAAATAAACTTTATATTCAATAAAATTCCTTCCTCATACCAGTTAAAGTGCTTCTCTAAAATAAGAACATGAAAGGAAAATCAAAACCCCAAACTTCCAATGTTCAGTTTATAATATTGGGTCTCTTACCTTCCAAAAAGTAAAATTCCTTTACATAAATGCTGAAAAGGAATTCCAACAGTCACCTGCATTACAAGCATAAATTTGTACTCAATTAAATCTATGAGAAAGCATGTACTTTACTTCACCTTTTGGGATCAAAAGCTTCAGCTCCCCCTCTAGAGCCTCCTCCCGGGGTTCTCCATACAAGACGTTCAATATATTCATCTGCCACAAAAGGCTCCTAAGTTTACAAAATAAAATGTTTTTTTTTTTAAGTTTCATAGAAGATCATATAATTTTTTGTTGTTGTTAAGTGCTGTTGAGCCAATTCTGACCCACAGTGACCCAGTATAGGGTTTCCAAGGAGCAGCTAGTGATCCTAAACCACTGACCTTGCAGTTCAAATGACTTTGCAGTCTGACACATTAGTCCACATCGCCACACCAGAAGGAAAAGTCTGTGGAAAATTTCCATTATATTTTAACTTCATTTATCTAAGACCTTTTTGAAACCTTGTATAGTACTATTTAGAGTTCTTGAATTACACTGTTAAGATAAAGCAAGGGACCGCAAGGTGGGTTTGAAACACAAGGTCGGCAGTTCAATCCCACCAATTGTTCTTCAGAAACCCTGATTTGGAAATGACTCAAGGGCACTTAACAACAACAGCTGTATTTACAAAAGTACAACAGAATCCTATTATTATATGAGAATGTAAAATGAAAACATTCACGGTTACTAGTTAATTTATTCATTTAACTTTTTTTTCATTAGAATATGAATAGAAATACCAACAATAATAGTATATTATCACTTCAACCATTTCAAGAGATGGAATATAATCAAGAGTCAATGGTTCTAAAGGAAGAAGTCCAAAGTGCACTGAACACATTGACAAAGAACAAGGCTGAATACAAATTGAAAATTTTCAACAAACTGATGCACAGCACCATAGGCACTCTCATCCATGCCCAGAAATTTGAAAGACAGCTATCAGGCCAACAGATTAGAAGAGATTCATATTTGTGCCCATTACAAATGGAGGTGACACAACGGAAAGTAGAAATCATTATACAATATCATTAGTATCACAACACAAGTTAAATTTTGCTAAAGATAATTTTAAAATGGCTGCAAAAGTACATTGATAGGGAACTTCCAGAAATTCAAGCTGGAGTCAGACCAGGATGTCAGGTGCATCTTGGCTAAAGGCAAGAGATTACTAAAAGATGTTTGCCTGTGCTTCAATGACGATGCAAAGGCTTTCAACTGTGTGGATCATGACAAAGCATGCACAATGTTTCAGAGAATGAGTATTCTGGAACTCATAACCATGCTTATGAGAAATCTGTACATAGACCAAAGGCAGTCATTCAAACAGAACAAGGACACTGACTGGCTTGAAATCCAGGAAAGGTATGCACCAGGGCTGTATTCTTTCACCATATTTATTCAATCTGTACACTGAGCAAATAATCCAAGAAGCTGGATTATATGAAAAAGAACGTGGCATCAGGACTGAAGGAAGACTCATTAACAACCTGTGATATAAACATGATACAACCTTGCTTGCTGAAAGTGAAAAGGACTTAAAAATACTGATGAAGATCAATACCACAGGCTTCAACATGGGTTTCATCTCAAGCTAAAGAAAACAAATATCCTTACACTGAAACAGTAAATAGCATAATAAGTGGAGAAAAAGACTGAAGTTGTCAAAGACTTCATTTTGCTTAGATCCACTACAAATATTCATGGAAACTGCAGTGAAGAAATCAAATGACATATTGTATTAAGAAAATGTGCTGCACAAAACCTCTTGAAAGTGTTCAAGAACAAAGATGTCAGTTTGAGGACCAAGGTGTGCCTGACCCAAATCATGGTATTTTCAATAGCCTCATACAGATGTGAAAGTTGGGCAATGAATAAAGAAGACTGTGGAATAAATGATTACATCTGAGTAATGGTACTGGAGAAGAATACTACAAGTACCAGCGACTGCCAGAAGAACAAACAAATCTGTGTTGGAAGAAGTACAGCAAGAATGCTCCTTAGAAGCCAGGATGATTAGACTTCATCTCTCATCCTTAAGACATGTTATCAGAAGGGACCACTCCCTGGAGAAGGATATCATGCTTGGTAAAGTGGAAGGTCAGCAAAAAAGAGGAAGAACCCTAATGAGATGGGTTGGCACAGTGGCAGGAGCAATGGGCTCAAGCTGTTGTGAGGACGGCTAGGACCTGACAGTGTTCCTTCCATTCTGTTGTGCACAGAGTCACTATGAGTTGGAACCAACTTTACGGCACCTAAAACAACATCACTTTGTTAGCACTTCACATGCATTATCTCACTTAATCGTGTCAATAAAACCTAAGAGGAAGGTCATATGTATTGAGAACTATGGACTCAAAATAAAGGAACTTCAGAGTTAAAACTAGAAAAACAGACCAGCACATGAAATCCCTCTAAATAATGACGAGAAATTACTAATGAACTTTTTAACTGCTTCAGAAAACAATAGGAAGACCCCCAACGAGATGGACTGGCCAAGTGGCAGCAATGAAGGATTCAAGCGTGGCAACAGTAGTGAACTTGGCCCAGGATGGGGCAGTGTTTCATTCTGCTTGTGCATAGGGTCGTTATGAGTCGATCCCGACTCAATGGCACCTAACAACAACAACAACATGTATCAGGCACATACCAAATACTATTAATTCAATCTTTACGTGCCCATTTA